GATTAAGTGATCCCAATTCATTTAATATAACTGTTAATAATAGCATTAGGCTCACCTGATGAGTGCCTGAATAAAAATAAATAAATCAACTTTCAAGCTGAATACCATGGATGTGTTGTAAATTATACACCTTTATCAGATGATGTACTTCAAATACCCTGAATGAATGACCATTAAATGCAGACAGACATAGGCATCAACAGCATCATAAGGACTGAAGTCTCAAAATTGTTATAAAGGAGTGTGTCTTGTTGGACAAATAATTTAGCTTTTGTTCTTAAATTAACAATGGAGTAGATTGAGTTCTATAATATTGATCACAGAACTCATCAAAACAAAAAGTCAACCAGGCATCACAAGATTTCCGTCCATTTAAAATCTGAAAAAAGTAATAAAAAAAACTAGCTTCTGAAGCATTAGTCTATGATAACTTTTTGAAGGTTTATATATCTTCAGCAATATTGGTGTTCATATTGAGTTTAAAGAGAAACCAAGCATCATTTCTTTGCTGCATTACACTAAGATTACATCATTACCTTTTAAATAAAACACTTGGGAAAATGACTTGCGAAAAAAAAAATCTCACAGAACCAGATTTAACAAGCTCAGAGACAAGAGTTCAGGTGGCTAAAATGTCCCTGAGGACATATTAAGCAACATGACTGCCATCTTCAATCTGATGCTCRGTAAGAAGCGACAGCACTTGCTGTGCTGTCCAAATATATCACATCTGAAGACGGATTATCACAGCATTAGTATTGCACTGGAAACTACTTTATCTCTGTGCTCAGGCATTCCTTATAAGATGCCCCCCAAAAAATGTTTTAACCAATTATTCCATTATCAAGTGTAGAAGTGAAATACTCATATAAGATCATTTGAATCTGTTTTGTTAGGTCGTAAATCTTTAAAGTTGATTAAATGTAGATTTGTGAAGCGTTGGAGCAGAATATTTGTGCCAAACGCTGACTCCTAGAAATCATAATCCGTTATTTTCACACGCTTCAATTAAAGAAGCCAAATTTCAGATAAAGGAATAAGAAACCAAATTTATGCAAAAATCCGTCTATGGTTGAATGCAAAGAAATGGAGTGAGGAGTTTTATCCTAATTTCTCTCACTGTGCAGGTTAATCAGGTGTTGATGCCTGGTATGTGGCAAAATGCTGAGCAGAGGACTTCTCTCAAGATTAAAAAAAAGAGGGTTAGATTTCTCACTGAAATTAAAATGTGTGGCGGTCTGTGACTTGCTCTCTTTTATGGTTTGATCTCAAACTGAAAAGCTCAGAGGTCAACACCACCAATGAAACAGACATAAAAGTGTTTCTTTCTGACTATAAAATGTAAACAAAATGTGCCCTAATGTTTATAAAATATCTTCGTCACAGTTGAATGGATTTTTTTGTTTGTTTTTTGCAGGGACAGTGGGGCATAAACAGTAAAAAGAATGGCTTTTCACATTTATTAACCAGATTGTGTGAATGGTTATTCTCTTAATTGCATCACATAATCAAGACTGCCCCCTGGTGGCAGTTAGAGGATTTGCAGAATATTGTTTTACATGATGTTTTAATTGTTGAGGTTTTAAATAAACTAAACATTTCCAAAAATTATCTATTAGTATGAGTTACAACATCCATCGATTAATCCATTATCTATACYCGCTTCTTCCCTTCAGGATCACAGGGGTCACTCCCATATCCAGGGCTAAGAGCGAGGGGCAGGGTCTCTGGACAGGTTGCAGAGTTAAAACATAATTAATGAAAATAGTAAAAGCAACAAGGACAGGAAGGTAAGTTTGCAAGAAAAAAGAAAAGTTTATTTCTTGTAAACCTCACAGAGTGTGAGCGCAGCCAAGGTCAGACCTGGGAGAAAACAGAACAGTGATTGTGGGCATTGAAAACAAAAAACAAGCAAAAAAAAAAAAATCAACTTCCATATTCGTTCACCAACCAGTTGGCTGAACAACTGACTGAACTGTCACTTTCTCAAAATGTTTCCAAGAAGCAAACAACAGCAATCTGAATTAAAAGAAAAACAAAAAGTTTCTCCATATACAGTAGGTGAAAACCAGATGTTGAACAATAATGATTGTTTCAGGCGATAGCGAAACCACATGAGATACAAGCTTATTTCTTCCTGTGGGGGCAAAAAAATAAATAAATAAAAGAACAATATTACCAGAAACTGAAGTAAGAAAAACTGAGGTACAACAGTCGGCTGTCCAAAATTGTAAATAAGGTCACATTCACAAAACATAATGTGCCTTTCTACTTCCTTACTTTCAACACAGGTCTACAACAAACAGATCAATTATCTTCCTGCTCGACGCCCATGAACTGATTTTTTGACTGAAAATGAGAGCAAATGTATTTGCAGTACATTCTTGAACATGTTACTAGAGATAAGGGGCGGTACAGTCTTGGCACACAAAACTGAAGTGGGAATATCAAATTATGTTATCTGGAACATTATAGTTGGCATTTTCATTTTTCTTTCCCTTTATGCTACACAATCCATCTTTACAGTTTTCCCTTTTAAAATAAGAAACCAGGGCATCTGCTGAACCAAAACATCTGGAGTTTAAAAGCAGCAAAGACCTTCTGCTCAGACACGTGAGGAGGTTTCTCTTCCCATACAGAATTTCTCTGCAAATTAGTTTTGGATTTGTTACTGGCCAGTTTGTCTCTGAATGTGGATAATAATCCGTTTCCTACAAGTGAGAAAATCAGTAGGAAGTCTACAAAGAAGCGTGTCGCTGAGAAGGGAATTTGTCCTTATCCTTCCCAGCTTATTTAAAACGGTTTCAGAAATTCTGAGCGGTGTCTCGTGTCCTCAACTCAAGGCACTGATCCTTATGCAGAGCTGTTCTCTGCCAGCTCGAATACTTTTAGAAAATACAACCAAGTGTTGGTTTTCTGGAAAACCAAACTTGTCACAARCGCTAAAGTTTTGCTTTGTCTCGAGTGATTCTTTTCTGATTTTTGACACCAACTTTTCCATTACCTTGAAATAGACTTAGTGTAAACGAAGAACCACAAAAAATAATAATAATAATAAAAAATAAATAAACTTTTAACCACACGCCAAAGCAGAGCAAATTTTCTGTGGATTTTTGGGGTAAAAGAATAAATTAAATCCAGGAGGCATGTCTGTGCCTCCTGTGTTTGACATTCCTCTGCTTGTACAAATGTCGTAGGATGAGACGAATAAATTAGGCAGTGAGTCAAAATGTGTGACAGTGATATGTTTTTGCTTATTTTATAAACTGTAAAATCAAATTGAAAACATATGGCAGCTTCTCCCGAGGACTAAAGAGCTGAAACTTGGTTGCGGAGGGGAGAGCGCAACATGTATGAGATGAAGATGCACACCCAATTCTGTGAGGTTTCACTAGAAAAAAAAAAATTAAAAATCAAAAAAACAAAATAAAACTGGGGCCTTTTTTATATAATGTGGGATGTTTGTAAGTTTTTTTGTCTTTTGTTTTAACTACAACAAACACAGTCACATAATACAACATCCTTCTGAAGTGGCAAAAAGAGAACAGAAAAAGTTCTCAACCGGCAGGAGAAATTAAAAATGTAGAGCGAATGAATGAAGAGGGGGCTGAAAAGGAAAAAAAAAAAAAGAAAAAGAAAGAAAGAGCGTTCACTTTTTGAGGGGTTGATAAACCGAAGCGTTGGGGTCCAAACCGGAGGAATTGGTGTCCATGAACTTTGAGGAGTAGTGGGGGGCCACGGGGGTCATGCTGCTGGTGTCGGCTGTGTAAGAGATGCTGGGCATGACGGCCATCACTTCGGCTATCTTCTGCTTCAAGTCTTTGATCTCTTGGTCCTTCTGCAGGATCTGACCTGAAGCCAGACGAATCGGGTCAGATAACAGCAGAGACCAGAACAAAAGGAAGGTTTACATGCAATAATTATTAGACATTTAAGAATGTTCAGTAAACCTTGTGCGATTTCCAGCTGCCTCTTGGCATCTCCAAGTGCAGAGAAAAGGTCCAGTTTGATCCTGGTCTCTGCACTCAAACTGTTTTCAAGGTGCTGGGTTTTGTCCTGCATTGCTGACAGCGCTGACATCAGCACCTCTGTGTCTTTTTCATTTTCCTTATATTTATGAAGCTCCTGGGAGAAAGAGTCGTGGTCAGACTAGTAGATATCTGTGGCTGGTTTCAAAATTGTGAGTTGTTATACACAGGCTATGATACACAGAAACGGAAACTGTTGTCGTTTTTAATGCTGCTGAAACGAAATAAACAAACTTACCTGAACTTTCAGTTCAAGCTCGCGTATCTGGTCCTCCTTCAGCTTGATGTCCATTGTTAATTTTTTACACTCCGTTTCTAATTCTGTGATTCGTCGCCTCAGCGTGTCTGTGCACTCTCCTCTGAGCAAAAGAAATTACTAGAATGAGGTACGAAAGAAGACTAAACMTTGACTGAATATGAGTTTGTTTATGTTAGGCTACATTCACACTGCAGGTCTTAATGCTCAATCCCGACTTTTTTTGCGTGGAYGTTCACGTTATATTTTAAATGAGACTTCCGTCTGACTCCAGTGTGAACTCTTCGCGGCCCTGATGCGACTCACATGCACAGTAAACAACAGGAAGTCACATTCAGCTCACCATTTAGGCTGAATATGGAYGCTACATGTTAGCATGTCAATTYKGAAGTTGTTGCGMAATCCAAGCAAATTWAAAAAAATTATCCGACAYRCTTGTTTAGTTCAGTGTTTACATTTTAACCTGACTATGACCGAATGCTCCGGTGCAGCATTTTATTTATTTGGAATGGGAGTGACAGACAGGAAGTAACGTATCGCTCCAGTAACTTTATCGATACAGTTTGAGACAAACATTACTGTCATTATTTCTATGGGTTCTCAGTCATGCAGGACATGGACAATTWAAAGAACAAAGACAAGCAAAATATTTAAACTGCATGACTCAAGGTTAGTATCATAATTATTATTTGGATCGATCTGCTCACCCCCACCTCACTGATGTAAAAGTCGGATGAAATGCGACATGAGTGTTCACACTGTGGTTGCTTTGAAAACCATCAGATATGCATCAGATTTAGTACCACAACTGAAAAAGCCTGGGTTGGATTTGAAAATAATAATAATAATCTGATTTGTTACRTTCAGACGGTCATGAAACAATCCAATATGTGTAGCATGGGGGTAAAAACGTTGGATTTGACTGCAGTGTGAATACAGCTTTAGTTTCACATGAATGGACCCWACCTGGAAGCTGCTGCTAGTGCTACTGCTCTAGCCGCTGTAGCCTCTTCTAACTTCTTGCGCTTCTTTTCTTCTGCCAGCTGCTTCTCTGCGGTGGCTCGAGCCTCCTGCTCTGCTTTGAGCCTCTTCTCCAGTTGGCCCACAGCCTGTTTGTCCTTTTGTTTCGCCTGCACAGCATTATGAAGCCTGGCGCATTGACAAACATGGAGCACATTAGCCAACRGAGGGATGAGTCTAAATGTCTTCACTCTTTTTTAGACTCAAGAACTGAGTCGCACAACTTACTTGTTCTGCARCAGCTCGTTCTCCTGGCGCAGCTGACCCAGCTCGGTGCGTATGGAACGCTCAGCRCTGCCCAGCGAGCCAATCTGGCTGCGAAGGTCCTGCTCAACCTGCCGGCTGGCCTGCAGGTCCGCCTTCAATTTTTTAATGTCCTGCTCCAACCTGGGCCAAGAGGAGGCATAAACAAAGGACACAAACATTTCTTAATATGTGATTGTAGCTTTAAGGAACTTTTTTTCATTAAAATTCTGCTCTTYATTTTAGAGCTGGARGTTTGAAGAAGGAACAGATGGTTTWTATCGCCTACGWCTTGAAAACTTAACATATTAAAGTGAACATTAATGCTGCAGATATTGGTTTGAACTTGTGTTGTTTATATGCTCAGTCATTCAGAAAAATCTACAACCAAAACTGTCACAATTTTTCTGAGCTAACAAAAAGAGACACAAGTACTAAGAGTACTGTGAATGAGGCATGTGCTTTCTTCTTACCTAACAAGTCCTTCAGGTTTTTTCAGCTCATTGTTGGGAATACAGTTGTCTGGTACTAAGAGTACTGTGAATGAGGCATGTGCTTTCTTCTTACCTAACAAGTCCTTCAGGTTTTTTCAGCTCATTGTTGGGAATACAGTTGTCTGTTGGATCTTTGTGGGAGCCCGCTGATGTCCCCTTCCCCACCGGTAACTTATGCTTCTTATCGTTTTTCCCTGTGGAAGATGACTGTGCAGAGGAGGGCACACTGCCATTGGTGGCACTATAACCACGTGGAGAGGAATTGAGTATTACAGCATTGCTGCTTGCATTTTTGTAATTTTTTGAAGAGGAGGAAGAGGATGAGGAGGAGGAACTGGAGGAACTGTTGTCTTCTTTAAGCAACAGGTTCTCTGTACTTCCCAGCTCTGTGGTCAGTCTCTTGTTGTTCATATGGTTCTCAATATACTCCATCTCCGGGATTTTAGAGTCCACTAATGATGGCAAGATGCTGTTGTGTTGCTTTTTATTCTCTGCACTGTTCCTTCCTTCTTTCCCTTTTTCTTTATACTCCAGCTCAGGCAATGGCGTCGTTGTCTTTTTATTGGCTGGGCCGCCATTCTGTGACACTGGAGGTGTGTCCACTTCAGATATTCCTTTAGCTGCTGCTGCTGCTATATGAACAAAGAAAGCAGAAGAAAGTACAAAATGCTCTTACTTAAAAAAAACATTGTGCTTTTAAATCCTTMTTTTTCACATTTAAATCATTCAGTTGGGCTCTTGATAAAGTGGAACTGCAATGTTTTGGTCTGAATTCCCCCTTATTGTAACTCCACAAGCCCCTTTTTCAAACCTTTACTGAGGTGCGTCTGAGATCAACTCATTTTGACGCTGTCTCTTTAAATGAGGCGTTTCACACACAGCCCCCCTTCTGCTTCCAGACCRGCCAATTCCAGTATGATAGAGAGGTTTACGACTATATAGCAACACAGAAAYTTTTGTTATTTACAAATTAATTAAAAGTTGTCAACAAGRGAAGACTTGTCCATCCAGCCTTACATGTTGGAGCCGGAGTCTGACCCAGAGCCAGAGGAGRATGAAGMCMACMAAACTGTAGATGATAAATTATGTTGGCTATTTGAGGTTGATCAAATAAATTTTGTGATTGATTGCAGTCATCTACTTTAAAATGAAATGTGACCAAAACAGAACATAAAGACATCTACGCAGCAACGGGAAAGACTAAACTTGCTAAAAAAATGTTTTTGCATGATATGAGCCCATTAAATTATATTGAAAATCTTGATATGTAATTCTTTAAGTCGTTTAAAAAAAATTTATCCAAACACTGTAAGCACTGAGAGGATTCATGCGTAGTTTATGCCATTCTGTAAATCTGTTTGTTATGGGTCAACTAATTAAAAACATATTTTATTCTAGAAAAAACTAAAAAAAAGATTAAAAAAAATTGGTAAATGGACTCTACTTATAGCACCTTTCTATCCAAACAGGATACTCAAAGTGCTTACAACACAATTTGTGCCCTCATTTATCCATTCACACTCAGATTTATTTAGCAATCTATTAGATCTCTCTACGAAGCTAAYACAGATAAATCAACTTATACAGACTAATCAGTGCTTTAAATCACACTCATACACTGATGGAACACACATCAGAGACAGTGGGGGTTTGGTGTCCTGCTCAGGGACAGTCCAACATAGGTCCAAATAGCGGTAGAATCGAACAGCCAACTCTTGCATTAGAGGAACGACCCCCGTCACCGCTCAGCCACAGCCGCCCCCAAACAAAAACGAACTAGAACTGTTTTTGAGTCTTTATCTATCACAGCCAATGACAGCGCTCATGGTCACTGTGCACAGTGTGTTTGCTTAAACTATGCAACAGGTGCACCTGCAGCCAMAGACTTGGATTAAAGAGGAAGTTTACATTGCAGATGTATGTTAACASATTTAAGACTTCTTCATCTGTAAATGCACCAAGGTAGAATATAGTCAGATAATAATCAGTACTAAATATGTTTATCTGATGACTCATTTRCATCAGCACAGATACCCACAGTGCAATCTTTGTATCTTTCAGCTGGCATGAAACTTTACAAAGCACCGCAGCAATCACACACCTGCCCTCAATATCTTCTGCTGTCATCAGCACATAAAAAATCTATAACATTCATGCTGTTTTAATCTTTGAGGCTTCRGACAGTAAACGTTTATTTAAATGTATAAAGTTTTTAGAGCCTAATGTTTAAAATTTGKCTCAGCAGTGCAACCTTGAACCTTTCTCATGGATTGCAATATACAGTATGAGGATGGAGCAATAACCTATGTGTGGACGTGTGTGTTTTGTGTGAGTGAATCAACAGTTACCACAACCCTCTTGTTTTCACATTAGTCTGTTCAGTTAGCAGCTTACTGTTGCTTTGAACTACACTCCAACTACTCATTCTCCTTCTTTAATCTATTCTACAGGAAATGAATGAAATAAAACAACTAYAGAATTAATAACCTAATATAGTTCATGTTTCTGTATCAGCAGATTATTTACAAAAAAAAAGCGTTTGCTGACTCAACCACAAATTTGAAACAGGAAACATTGATGAAGTGCAAAAAAACATTACAGAYTCAATAACAACTGCAGTGACAGACAGAAGGGATTTTATGTACCCCAAGTCAGCATCAGGAGCTTATGATGTATAAGCAGCACACCAGAGGGTTAAAACTTACCTTCTTCTGCTTCTCGCTCTTGCCTTTGAAGCATCTGTTGCTCTGGAGGCAGAGCCTGCTGTAGCAGTTGCATATAAAACTCGTTTTCCTTCTGCACCTCCTTCTGTTTTCTCAGGCGCATTTTATAACTGACGTAGCTCTTGAAGCCGAAGCCCAAGGTGACCACGGGATAGCCAATGCTACGAAGAAACAAAGAATAATCAACAGTCGCAGATCTGAATCACTAACTAAAAACACAGGTTTTCAATGTAGGATTTTTTTTTTTTTTTTGAGAATTCATCATGAAGCAGCCATATCACAGTAGGTCTTATTTGTTGTAAAGATCTCAGTTCTGCGTATTGTAACATTGTAGCAAAATGAATAAAACTGTAAACCAGAAAAGTAACAATCAACTGTGGTTGAAGTTGTTGCGTTTTTCTGCCAAAAATAAAACAGATGCTTACCAATGTGCAGCAAAAGGACGGCACAAGTCCACATGAAAGTTCTTCAGGTCTTTGAATCTGATGGCTGCCTCTATGTACACAAAAAGTATCCATAGAGACACGGTGGGGAGACACACCCCTCTCTCTGGACAAACAACACAAAGCACAGCAAAGGTGTCAGGACTGCATTTTAACCCTGAACTCTGACAATGACAGCAGCTATTCAACAAAATACGTTATTATTTACTTATTCTTTAATAAAACAGCAACAATTTAGGAATATGTTGCATCAAACTGAAGAAATGCACGTGTTTCTTCTTATCTAAACCATTATTACCAAATGTGTGAGTTAAACAGGTATGTAATACAGAATTTATATTAGTGTCAGACAAAATAGTTGCCAAACTTTAATCAAGTCTATAAAGAACTGATGAATACAACTTGTTTTACTYTCACACATAAAACGAGTAACTACAGTACACTATGCTGCTGTGAAAATGTTTAATTTCTCTACCAGGTTTTTGTTGTCATGTCATTATTAATATACAATGTTCCAGGATATAGACTCTACCCATTGTTTTTTTGGCAGGACCACACTCCAAACATTCAACAGCAAGCTGTGGAGGGCCACGAGATATTAATACTCCTGTGAYGTCCTCTGGTTCTGAATGTCTGAGACCACGCCGCTTCTCCTCCCCCATCAGGCACTAAAATTTCACTCTGACACCTGGTCTTTGGTCAGCACGGGCAGATACCACTAAATCAGTCTGACAGCTAATCCGCAGAGCGCTGCTCACTTACATACAGCATGCAAAATTATGAGGAATAAATCAACAACTTGTAAGAAGAACAACAGCATGTGTATGAGTCTTACACAACACTTTCACACCTGCTTTTTATAAAAGCATTAGGTACTCATTGGAATCATTATCATGAAACAAGGCTCAGAAGGATGTTTCATTTTTATAGGCTATCATTTAGGTTTACATTTGTTTCTAAAAAAAAAAAAAAGGAAAAGATTTGGACACAAAACTCACAACCAAAAGACAGGTTCAGCATCTGCTTTACTATATAAATCTTGTAAAAACAATATAATTTACTTCCCAAACTTCAAAACAATAGGAACGCCAAACACAGAAGGCCTTACCTGTGTGCCAAACATACTGCACCCACACATAGGTACTGGCAGCGAAGAACAGCCATTGCACTGGGATGAAGAGGAGGCAAATGATGTCCGAGGTAAACGCCACACAAACAAAGAATACTGAGAAGGCCTATAATAAAAAAAGAGATATTTCTATTAACTTCATAGTAAAAAAAAAAAACAGATAGAAGACAAGTTAAGTACATCAGACATTAAAAGCAAACTATTTCACTTAGAAATGAGAATGATGTCATAGCTGCACATCAGATATCTCAGTTTTGAAAAAGGCACATTGCTCATCGATCTCTCAAAGATCATATGTGGCTCTTGAAAAGCTTGTTCTTGTTTACTTTCCATTAAAACATTACGAATACCCATTCATCACTACTCACCAGTCCCTGGTATCTAAAGGAGTCGTACACGCTCCGCATGAAGAGCCAGAAAGGCCAGAGGTACTCAAACCTGAATTCAAGTACAAAGTCTGCGAGCAGCACCAGTGCCCACACCACCAGGAACTTCAGGTACAGGAAGGTACTAAAACAAGGAAATAAAAAGAAATTAGATTTCATTTGACAACAACGCTCATCTTCATTCCAAGCACGTTACCTGGTATAGTCATGCTGACTGTTATGTGTGGGATGACTCAAGTGTAAGAGGTGTGCCTGTAGCCTGTTTGGCAGATTAAATGAGAGTGATGCACTTAGTCCAAGCAGCTTATGTTAAATAATGGATAAAATACAGACATACTTTTGAAGGCAATTTTAAGTGAGCTGGAAAAATATGTTAACTTGAGTATGTTGGTGTCATGCAAACCTACCAAGGATTGTAGATTTACCTCACTAAATACTATTCTTTAGTCCATTTGAGTGTTTTTGGTGTTTAAAGGACTCTTAATCACCTAACATTATGTTCTGTAGTGATTTTTTTTTATTAAAGCTAAAAGTAATTTTTAAAAGACGTTTTATTACAGCTGACTTGTGATGTTTGTGAGCTTTTTTAATAGAGACATTTTTAGACCTTGATGTTCATGTGACGGCCGATCAAATATAAGGAAGTCACACAAAGGTAGAACCTGTCAGAACCAGCCACCTTTCAGTTGAACAACACCAGGGAGCTCCTCACAGGAGTCAGGCTGACCGAAGTTAGATTTACTAAAACAGGAAGCAGTAAGATTTGACAGGACCGACCTGTCAAGTCATGGGGACAAGAGTTGACCCGTAATGTTTTGTTAAAAGCAGTCATGTCAAGGTTGCCGTAAATAAATCCTATGACAGTGGTCAAAACAGGCTGTTTTGGGGCCTAACAGAACAGTTAGCCCAACAGCTAATGTTACCTACTAACGACAACATAGCTAGTTCAGCTAGGTTAACAGTCTGACCCAGCTGTGGCAGTTCACTGTGCTCAAACTACATCTAATTTATGCTACTGTGAGGAAGACCTGTTCCTGCGGCTCCGTAAGTTACCTGCCGTAGATACCCTCGGTGATTCGGTTCCGTTTTAACGGCCGTCTTAGTTTGCTGCAGTCCGCATTGCGCCGCTTCATCCTCCTCCCCTTGGCTTCGGCCTTCGAGTAACAGCTGTAACCTTATCCAGTTTTCTTGAGTATACGGACAAAAATAATAAATAAAATGCTTGCTGTTTATGTCGCTGTTATTATTTTTTTCCCCCACCGCTGAACACAAAGAAATAAATAAAAGACTCTGTTCGGGAACCTCCTCTTTTCTGTTAGCGCAAGCTCAATACGCACAGACAGCGTTGTGTTTTACATACGTTCAGTTGTCAGACGGATGGAATGTCCAATCAGATTGTCCGCTGAGGCTTCTTTGTTTGAGTGACGAAGACGAGAGCCAATCAGATTTCAGAAAAGCAGCTCGTTCGCTTTCCCCCTGTCCAAGCCAAGAGAGGGAGAGCGTAAGGGCTGCGTAAGGAAAGACGGGTCAATCAACCAATTAGATTTTTGTGTACAAATCAAGGAATCACTGAATAACCAGTCAGATGAGCTCGGGGGCGGGTTTTAACAAAGTCTTTGCCTATGCTTTATTATGAAGAGAAAATAAGCAGTCAATCCTTTGTGTCACTTACAAAAACATCCACTTTAACATACAAGGCTATTTATATCAGGGCTTTTATGAGTAGTTCACATACATATTTGGCCAAAGGCCGTAAATGCGATTTTTGGTGCACTGTGAAAGCAAATGTAGAGGTTTAAAGGAAAGCTATAATTTACTATGATATAAAATTGACTGTTCATATGATATTTAAAACGTGGGGTTCTTTATTTATCCAATGCCTTGTCTTAAACAGGTTATAAAAAATAAATTTTGAAATGTTATAACAGAAAACATATTACTTTTTTAAATGTCATATGTTTGCTTGTTAATCCCATTCACATTAGTTCAGCCTTCTTCTGTTGATTTCTTTAAGACAGACATGTCCTCGTGTCCAGCAGCTGATAAAGAGCCATGCAGGTTGCGCCCACTTTCAAACCGTCGTTTTTGCGACTGATTGTGCGTCAGATGCGGTAGAAGCGCACAGAAAAAAACATCTCCAATGGCTCCTAAATACGCTCCAAGTCTGCGCTCCCGCTTGGCACCGTTGTTGCTTTGTCTTCAGACAGGATTCATCCTCTTAGCTGCCTTTTACTTTGAAATCAAGGAAACAGTTGACAGGGATGCCTTCATTAACTTATACTCAGGTGAGTTTTTATAGTTTGGAATTAAAATAGGACATTTTATATTTAATTAGTGCAACCTAAATGTGATGGATAATGTGTTTTCAAGTAACCTGCACGCGTCAAATAGCAAAGTCAACCCAAGTTAGATCAACATTCAGTCGTTAAGGCAGTTAAATTTGTTGGAGTGCATCCAGTTTTTATGACCCAGAGCTTTTCTCTTGCAGAGTACCAGAATGTGAATGTGATGATCATTCTGGGTTTTGGTTTCCTGAGCACCTTTCTGGTTCGGTATGGTTTCAGTGGCTCCGGGTTCAGCCTCCTTGTTGCGATCATTTCCACCCAATGGGCAATTATACTGAATGGCATTGAGTTCTGGTATTACAGAGGAAAGATACAGGTTGATTTAAAAAGGTAGGATGTCTTCTTTAAGTGTATAAACAAGTTTTGTTCAGGGTTAAAGAAATGTCTAATGCATTCATACAGTGTTCTTGTTGCTGAGTTGTATGCGGCCTCTGCCCTCATTTCCATTGGAGCTGTGCTGGGGAAGACTAACCCAGTCCACCTCACCCTCATCGCCCTGCTGGAGGTGTCAGGATTTGCCCTGAATGAATGGCTCCTCCGGACTCTCCTGAATGTAAGCAGATTTAAATTTCAATCCTAAATTGTACTTTCTGTGAGTTATGTGTTTCGTGCCATCAGGTCAGACCTCTGAACGGCATCATGCTGCTTCACGTCTTCGGGGCCCTCTTTGGACTCATGCTGACGGCCATCCTGAACCGTGCAAACTCCAAACAAGGGTTTGAAAAGGAGAAGTTTGACAGGAAATCCGGATTGTTCTCCATGTTGGGTGATTGACAGGCTCTTTTCCTGAATGTTTATTTAAGACTGCATCTCTACCTCCAAAATGAACATTTTGTTGGGTGGTGTCTTTGTTTTCCAGGTACTTTGTTTCTCTGGATGTTTTGGCCCAGTTTTAACGCAGTACTTGTGGATGATCGTACTCCTTGGAGGAAGCTGGAGGCTGAGGGCAGCACCTATTTGGCCCTGGCTGTTAGTGCTGTGACAGCAGCTGCTGTGTCTGTGCTCTGCAACCCGAAGGGTAAACTCAACCTGGTATGATCCCACACTTCAAACAGCAACACAGCTTCACTTTCAAAATCAGTGTAAAATTTTATAACTATGGCAAAAGCACCCACAAATTAATTGCGTCCGTCTATATTTGATATTTACACAAGCTTTTGTTTTCACTTCTTCGTCAGGTCCAGTTGCAGTCATGTATCCTGGCAGGTGGCGTGGCTGTGGGGGTTTCGATCTCTGCGATACATCAGCCTTGGGAAGCCATGACAATCGGATTCACCGCAGCCATTATATCAACTATCGGATTCAAATATCTTAAGGTGTTTAATAACCACATAAAGACGATCACTCTCTTTAAAGGAGAAAATTCACGACATCACAAGCACAGTTTATTTTCCAGACGCATATGCTCCTTGCGTTTGACTGCCACGACACCTGTGCCATCTTGAGCACGCACGGACTCCCAGGTCTGCTTGGATGGCTCGCACAACTGGTCCTGCAGATTAAAGACTGTGATGATCACACAGTGTAAGAATGCAACCAGCAGGTTACTGCTGACAAACAAAGAAGTGTGACAGCACCTGCGTAACTTTTTGATTTGAATTTTCAGGGCGATCCGATTTGCTGTGTTTCACATTTCTGCTCTCCTTATCACCGTCACCATAAGTCTGATCATGGGAATCCTAACAGGTGTGTCTCTTCTTAAGAAGCTTTCTGTTATTAGTGGAGGCTAATGATAGCTATTTATTGTTAGAAACAATTTAACAAGATAATAACTTTAGTTTTGCCATTTGTACACGGCTTAATCAGAGTAATAATATACTGTCTATATATATTTTTTTTTTAAATTCCCTTTTGTTGTTGTTTGTTTTTCATTTAAAGGGTTTCTATTAAAATGGAACTTCTGGAGACCTCCCCAAAACAAGAAATGTTTTGATGATCAAGCTTTCTGGGAGGTATACACTCAAAACTACTCCTTTATGAAGCAAAATAAAAAGTCTAAAGATGCATATTTTTTATTGCAAACATGCCAAATTATGCTACAACAGTCATTTTCCATTTTTCTTTACACTGGTTTACATTTATGAAGCTGTTGTGAACATATTTTGTGTTCTTTTTCCAGTTTCCCCACCTTGCAGAGCGCAAGTAGGTACAGCAAGAAAGAAGAGGAAAAGTAATGTTCTCATCTTGGGAAATACATCAAATTTTGGAGTAATTCAAATCACTGTTTATAATTTTATATCACTTTTCTTACTTTTAGAAAATGTAGTTGTTAAAAATGCTTGTGACAATGGACTAGATTGTGAAAAGAGGAATGTCAGACAGATTTACTGCTCAGGATGTTTAATGCTGCACATGTAAGAAACTGATCAACTTTACAGGAATAATGGAAAGGTGTTGCACCCAAATACAAATCTTTTTAAATCAACAACACCCTATTGCTGTGAAACCCTCTCCTGACTTCAATTCTGCAGTGTGGGCTTATAAAATTCAATAAATCAGAATAATTTCAGAGTTGATGAAGTGTTATTACAAGAAAAAAAAAAAGAAATGCTCCCATATGGCCAAGTTTAATAAAAATGTATTATGAAACTTTGCACCACACAGCCTTAAAATCCCACTCAGTCATTGTTTAAATTAAATAATGTTATAAAACAGAAGAAAGTCTACCCCACAGGAAAGTTGTAGCAAAGCTCCAATATATACAATCTGTTATACACATGTTGTAAACCATTTCAAACAACATGGCTACACAGTCCGAGTGCAAACAGACACATTTAAAGATGTGCCACCATTAAAAATGTTTCAGTTTTCAAGAAATCTATTAAGATTTGTGCTTAGATGTGATTTAGCTAATTTACAGCAAAGCACATAAACACGTAATATGAAAGCAAAAAAAAGTGTTTGTATAAAGTAATTAACTGCTGAGCTTTCATACAGTATAGAAAGTAGAGTGTATAACTATGGACATGAAGTCACATACAGTCCGTTACTGCCAGAGATCCTCTGTGCGCCCAAACTTGAAGACCAAACCCCTAAATTAAGGAAAAGGAAGGTTAAGATCACCATATTTCTATTTGCAGAGTGATTTACCCTAAATGAAATAAAGTGAAGATCCTATTTAAGACTCAACTTACCCAAAGAAAATGAAGGCATTTTGGAAGAAAATGGCGATACCCGGGTAAACAACAGGCTTCTCTGCAAAAACAGAGCAGTTACAGCAAGATTATAAATCTTCGCAACATTTTATTTCCCTGCTGCATCACACTCTAACATTCTGCAAAAGTTTCAAGACATGCACAGTAGTGCTGGGCGGTATAACGTTTTGTACCGAATACCGTTTTTTTTTGTTTTTTGTTATATGAATTTTCTGAATACCGGACATACCGGTTTAAATAGCGGAACGTTTCGTCGCGGCTGCCAGTGAAGTGCCAGTTTCCCGGGGGACATTTTTCCTTGCTACACCACTATGTGCGTTAGCATGCTAACGTTTGGAGCAGCTAGTTGCAGCCGCGGGCGGCGATTCCGCAGCTTATATTGACTGACGTTTAAAAAAAAATCCCGTTTTCGCTGTCGCTGAATGTAGTAAACACCTCGTCAGTGACGTGCACAGTTAGCTTTAACGTGGTTAGTTAATATGGAGACGTTACGCTGATGGAGACTTAACGTGGTTCTATTGTGAAAAGCACAGGGAAGTAGTTCATAGTGGAGTTGGAATTGACTGGTGTGCAAGGTGAGTCGTGCTGATAAGCTTTAATAAATAACAGAAAACAATAAACCCGATCATAATCTTTTCTTAACCCTCCTCCTTCACGACTGGACCAAAATGCATGACTACTGTCTCCAACCACCAGTCAGAGAAGAACAGACACAGAGGAGGRAAACAGCGACACAGACAGAGGTACAGTGAAAGAAAAAAAACCCAGTAAGCAGGGTTTGTACATTTTATTATCAGCTGAGCTGTGATGAAAAGAAAAATACCGTCAAATACCGTGAAAGCGGTGAAAATGTTGAAAATACCGTGATATAAAATTTTGATCATATCACCCAGCTCTAATGCACAGTGCTAAAAAATGCTTCAAGTCACACCCCTAAACTGACAGCTGAGCAATGACGGCAAACCACTGCGCTAAGCAGACAGACAGCACTTACGAGGCACTACGAATCCTCCAAAAAGAATCCACATGGAGGCAATGAGGGAGCCAAAAGCCAGCATGAAGCCAATGAAGAGCCACACTCGAGCRCCTGCGAGACAAGATAAGGAAGGGTGGGTTACTTGGTGATGAGACAGTAAATTTATTTCTTAAGTTGTGAAGATAATACTAAATATTAGTCAAAAATAAGGTATAAAAATAGATATGAYTTGGATTATAGTAAGAAAAYTGACAAAAATCARCAKTTCGTGGAACTCATCAAACGCACACGCACCTGTCTGTCCCAAGCAGCCTTCGCTGTAACTGTCTCCTCTCACTTGGCCGTTCGAAACAGCGTTTATCCTACAAGAGCATAATGAAGAAATTTTAAATTACATAACCCATCTTCTCTAAAACGCGGTCATTTAAATAAAATACAAACCAAAGGTTTCAAACCCTAATCTGAAAAGTCTAATGTGTGACTGAAAAACATTTATTTGGTAGCTGCGGGCACAAGACAAAACACTGCTCAGCTGACATGCAGACTTCTTGTTATCACATCAAAGCAGAGAACAGCCATGCAAAAACAACTGAACTTGCCATGAATGATGGCTGGAGTCAATCGTATCTAAAGGCTCTCTCACACTACGTTTTAGACGTGTTAATTTTTTTATTTCTAAATTACTAATGAAGTTATACATTTGATCAATTTGTTAGCATTACAGTATGAACACGGCTAAGAGGCTTCCAATGGATTTTTTAAAATTCCATAAAGTAGATTTCTTTAAAATTTTCAGAAGTTGGCAAAAGTTGTCTAAAATGTTATACCGTCACAGAACCTTGACACTAGAGATCCTAAYTAAACAGAAACTGAGAAAACACTTGACTTGACATCACATGACTGAAACTACAAAATGAAGTCATGTGATGACACATGACACAATAATGGGGCTTTAAGCCTTCGGAAACTCTRCATGTTTGCACCTTAAAGTGCCTGTGACATTTCTGTGATAAATACAAACGTTTTATTGGAAAGAYAACATTAATAACATRTTGTAAAAAGAACAATGTGCACTACTGAMATAAACAACTGTTAAGATCCCAAGTCACTGAAAAGACCCTCTCAGATTATTCTTTTCCACTCTTTTGTAATTATGAAGGCAATATAAACGTAGCATTGCTACAGTAGGTAACAACACAGACAGTAGGGCTGCCACGATTAGTCGACGACTAATCGATTATTAAAATAATCGATGACTAATTTAATAATCGATTAATCGTTTTCTCTATTTTTTTGTTGTTTACTTTGTTTTTCTCTCCAAACTGCTTTGACACATTCCACTGCCACATCTGC